CTGCCCAGCGACCCTGGCTTTCCTTGGTGGTCTCCCATAACAAATACTAGGCCAGCCAACCCTGCATAGCGTCCATGATCAGTCTAGCCGGGGCTGTCCAAGCCCTTGCCTTAGAGCAGAGCATCCAAGAGTTTCAGAATTTGTGTAAGACCAAATTGTACAGGAGTTCTTTGGCAGCATGTAAGTAGCAGGATCTTCCTCATTTGAAATATCTTGGTAGAAGGTACACATGCAGGAGCAGAGAGGCTCCTTTGTGTTATTGCTGTACTGTGGTTGCAGACTGTTTATTTCTAGTTCTGTACGCAGTTTTGAGTCCTGCAGGAGAAAGACAGGATAAAAATGATTTAAATAAATATGAATTCCACCCTTTGGTGTTTCTAACCTTCGAAGAGGGTTTCGTATCTTGTCCTGGGTTTCCCCTCCTCTTGTGTACATTGAGCTCACTCTGTATCTAGCCTTCCTTATCAGGGTTGCCACTGTACGTGACTGTGATTTCCTCCTAAGTCCATGAAGCAGTCTGTTCCATGAATTTTCTGTAGCCAACAGTGGTGGGAGGCCCCACTCTGCGGGCTTTTGTCTTATTTAAATACAATGGCAAACTCCCTCTTCCACCTACTAGGAAAACCAGATCTCAGTGCTGCAGGGTACGGCAGTGGCTGCTTTTTAATGCCGCTGTTGATCCAGCTGACATTATCTTAAGAAACGAGGTGGCGGCAGAAGCAGAGAGCCCAGCTGCCTTTCCCCAGTCCTGAGAGCAGGGCCGGATGTTGTTGGTTTCAGATTAGGAGGTGGCCAAGAGTCGCTGAGTCCGAAATACAACGTAGAGGCAAAAGAGTGATGTCAGAGATCCAGCAGTCAGGGGGCTTGGTGGTGAGGGGTGGGAGCTTTGCCTGCTCTGTCTGTATCCCCTTCTGAAAATGGTGCTCTAGCCAGAATAGTCTGTGGCTCTGATCATCATTTCAAACCTAGTTCTCGGTGAGGCGGCAAACTTGATTCTGGCCTGCATCAGCTCAGACTCGGGGCTGGCATGATGTTCCTCCATATCCCCTCCCCAGTCCCCTGCATGTAGAAAAAGGGGATCTCAGAGAGAAGGCTGGGCTAGAACCCTTTCCCCTGGCAGGCGGCTGCGTTTGCGTGGAGGACGGTTCCTTCATGCCGGCTCAAGCCAAGCACACGTTTACCACTCTGAGGTACAGTCTGCATTAATGATGAAGTTTTCTTCGTGCATGTTGCTCAGCACAGAACACAAAGGCGCCGGAGGGCCTGTTTTTATGTTCAGCGGGGCATCTGTTGCCTTATAAGTCTGCAGCAACTGTGGCACTGTTAGAATTATGTGGTTAGTCTTTCAAATCAAAGCCACTATTATTTTTGATTCTGTAAGTTGTCTACAATATGGAGGTCTAAGTATAGAAGCTAATGTCAATGGCTCTTATGTTTTAAATAATACTGCACTACCTTTCCCGCTGTTACGTCTTTCGTACGGGCTATTACAGGTGAGCGGGTTTTATAGATTAAATTTTATGGCACAGCAGCATCTGAAATATCTTTGAGTACAACGCAGTGTACCGGCAAAAAGGGCAGGCAGTGGGGGTGGGGGGAGATCTACTGGTGCAACGGTTTCATGTACTTAGATCCCCCATTATAAGAAGCACTTAAGAGCCTCAGGAATAGTCACAGTTCTGATTTAAACGATTTAACTACTCGACTGGAGCCGTGCATTTCCTAGGCGATGACAGATCCAGCATGGCTAGCTTCATGCAAACAGGTCCGTTCCTATTTTGAGCAGCTCTGAGCCTGCCAGAGGTTTGAAGAACTAGGATTTTGAACAGTATTACCATGCAGACTTTAATGCCTTGAAGCTTTCTCAGAGTGTTCAGCCTCCCCTTTTGCTCTGTTTCTTGGTAGCTTCTTGCCCCATCCTTTCCCCTCGAACTGCAGAACTGTAGTGTGTAGGGGATTCTTGGCATCTCAAGCGACACCTTCCTCAGTTCAGATTTGTGGTGTAGAAGAAGCTGAGAGTGGGCCTATGAACAGCAGTAGGGTGGAGTAGGAGGGGCGAGGGAGCTTTTTTTGGTAAAAGTTTCTTCATCTGTGTGGAGTGTTCAGTTCTGTCCTTTTGCCTGTAAAGATATGTTTTTATTATATGGTTGTTTCCTTAAGAGACGTTTTGTTGTGTGCAATACAGTTCTGCAGCCTGGACATAGTTCAGCACTAATGTTTTTTCTAACCTATTTTTGTACTTCATCTGCAGACATCTATTGCACTTACCTTGTATTATTATTAAATTCTTAAAAATTATTACAAAAAGAAAAGAAAAAAGAAACTTAGCAGTGGAAGAGGTGGACAACTGATGGCTAGAGCTCCAGTTCAGAGGAGCACAGTAATGAAACAAATTCTGAGTGTGCACAACTTCTTCCCTAAATATTAATAACACAGTAGATAATTAACCCCAGGCGTTAACAGTTGCATCCTCTTTCCATTGTACTTCAGCCAGCACAGAAAACCATGTGCGAGTTTCCTACCAGGTTGCTGCAAGTCGCTTGCAGCCTTTTGTGTTTGTATAAGGCTGTGTTCTGTTCTTGTGTGACAGTATTGAAAATAAAAGAGAGCCACTCGACTGCTCTCAAAGATTGACTGTCTTCTTAATTGATATTCCTCCCCACCAATGCAACAAGGAAGGGAGGCAAGAGGTTTCCTTTGTGAGTCGGGCAGTTCATTCCTTTGGAGTCCAGTCTGTTATTACCCGGCAGCTTTGTCTATTAATTTGATTCTCCCCCCCCCCAAAAAAAAGAGTACATTTAAGCAAAAAACAGGTTCCAGACCTGCAAAATGTGACTGTGTAGTTGAAAGAAACGTGGGGCCCTGAGGGGCAGGTGGAAGACTTGCCACTACTTTTAACTAGTTTTGTGCGAAACTGGCAATTTTGAAGTTATTGGACACCTGTTAAAAGACACTGCCGAAGCTAACGAGAGTGTGTAATTTTGTTCTCTGCTAGCACTAGTCCTTGGCGAGCAATTGAGGCAGCTTGCAAAACTTGGATTTTAACTGGATGTATTTTATATTTTCTCAAATATGTTATTACATTTGTTGAGCCTTTGGGTTAGGGTAGGCTAAAAAATTAATCTAGATGCAAGATTAGTTCTCATATTACTTTTTTAAAGGAACGAGTGTACTTTTGTGAGTCACACCTAAGGCTTGAGTACAATTACAAGTTACTTGCAGCGCAGGGCTCCGTCATGAGTACGTTGCTCCGGCAGCGGGGGGGAGGGGGGCATAATTTGTGAAGCAGTCCTGCATGGTCATATGTGAGTCTGCCTACCTCACAGCATACGTCCACTAATTCGTTTGTCTAGGGGATTTTTATGCTGCCTCTCCTGGGGAACTAGCCCAGTGATTTCCCTGTACTTGGATGCCTGTTAGTGGAAAGTATAAAATAATTCCATCTGGAAGGGTGTGGGGGTGTTGTGAAAGATGTGCAAACTTATGCATAGGGTGGAGAAAGTGGATAGAGAGAGCTTTTCCTCCCTCTTCCGTAATACTAGAACTCAGGGGTACCTAATGAAGTTATGGGCCATAGGAACAGGACAGAGCAGACAAAAGGAAACTGTAGAATTCACTGCCAGGGGAGGCGGTGATGGCCACAAGCATAGATGGGTTTAGAAGGGGGTTAGATGGATTCATGGAGGGAGAGATCCACGAATGGCTACTAACAGTGGGGAAGAAAGAGAACCTCCACATCCAGAGGCCGCAGACCTCTGAATACCCATGCTGGGAAGAAACATTAGGGGAAGGACTCGGCCTCTGTGCCCTGTTCATTGGCCCTCCAGAGCAGCTGGTTGGCCGCTGTATGAAACAAGTTGGCCACTGTATGAAACTAGATGGACCACTGTTCTGATCCGGTAGGGCTGCTCTTATGTTCTTCTGTCTGTGGTGTTACATCTGTGAAGGCTGATTCATTCCTATGAGTCACTCTCTGGATGCTGCTGTCGCCAAGTGAAGCACTTGCTTGTGTGGGTCAGACGGGAGTCTGCGTAGCATGCAGAGTGTCTACAGTGCAGGGTCTAAGAGGAAGCGGTTTGTTTGTTTTGTTTCATTTATAGACTGCATAGCTTGCTGGGACCCAAGGCAGATTACGCAATTAAAGAACAGTTTCATAAAAAGCAGTATAATGCATAAAAACAATGCATTAGAACTAGATTATAAATTTAGAGGATGCAGAAATGATGGTATAATAACAGTGCAGTAAAGCTGGATTACAAAACTAGAAAACAGTTCAGTAAAAACAGTATAATACATACAATAAACAATGCAATGAAAATGGATAGTTTTTCCACACAGACATTAATGCTTTTACCAGTATACACAGAAAAAGTGGTGGGAGTTTACTTACTGAGGTGGGAAGGGGATCCTTTGCCACAAAGATGTACCTCATTCAGTACCTCTCGCAGTTGTGCTTCAGAGGCTTCTTGGGAGATCAGCAGTTTGTTGGAGAGACCATTCTAAAAGTATGAGCTTTTCCGTACTAATATTTAAGGTATTAGGAATCACATTCCTGGTTAACATTACAGCTTGTATTTGGGATAGAACTTAATGTCAAATCTGAGCGAACTCATTAGGTCAGCATAGCAAAGAGATTGCTCTGAATTTGGTTGACGTTTCCGACAGCAACATGGTACATTTTCACAGTTTCAGAACAGACAGGAATATTATTCAGGCTGATTTGGTCGTGGGATGCCTGGTTTTGCATTTTGGGATTGCAGTGCTCATCGTGGGATTTGGCCAACTCTTGAAATCACTGGGGAACCTGCTGTGTTTCTGAAAGCCAGCCAGGAAAAGACACACGCACCTGCCCTTACTTGGTGCTCACCTGTTCAGGTTCTTAATGGAGAGTTGAGCTAAGCACAGTGAGGAAGAACATTCATCATGGTTTTATTTTTTTGTTTTATTTTTTGCCTTTATATCCCGTGTGATAGGTTCGTTCTTCCTTTATGCCCATATAGGTTCAGTGGTGTCTTCCCCAGCTTAAACATGGCAGTGAAGCGGCGTGAACAAGCTCTGCAGGATTACAAGCGGCTGCAGTCCAAGGTGGAGAAGTACGAAGAGAAGGAGAAGACGGGGCCCATTCTGGCCAAGCTGCATCAGGTTTGTGCCATTCAGACAGGAGGGCATTCAGAGTAGCCTGACTGCCACAGGGCAACTTACAGGTTGCTCAGGTGCTGGATGACATTTTATGACTTAGGTATTTATTTCACAAAGGTGCAAGGACGTCAAAAGGGGATGCAAAGGAACCTTTGGAGGAGAATCCACCATTAGCCGAGGGCTAACTAAATACCACCCCCAAGGGATTATTTTGTTCTAGTCTTGGAAGGCAATGGGAGTGGGGTGGGGGGTCAGTTCAGCATACATCCAAGCCCTTTTCTGTCGTCGTATCATATGCCAATTTATTGCATGCAAGTTGGATTCTCCACATGCAAGCTCATCATATTGCAGTACAAATCAAGGGATCCATTGGATGGTCAATTCCCATGTGTGCTGTAGTTGCAACGGAAGTTCTTCCTTTTCTGGTGAAATAGATATGGTTGTGCCGCTGGGGGCACCATTTGGTGTTGTGTCACCTGCATCATGCCAGACTGATTCCTCATCCGTCAGCTAATATGTGCACTGATTTTGCCCCTCCATCTCACACATTTTCCTGCCTTCCTTTCTCTTTCTTACCAGTGCCTCCTCTTCCATCCTATCTTTTGGCTTTAAGATTCAGGAACACTCCACTGGGTCTCTGTCATGTCTGTAACATGCTCTGAGCCCATAGGTATATGCTGTAGAATGCCTCCCCAAATGTTATAGAACTTGTATGTTTGTGTGTGTGTGTTAAATGAGCCAGCAAGGTTCCTTCAGACCCCATAGGACTGCTCCTGTGTCTTAGAATGGTAATATTAAAAGATGAAAATCGCATCTGAGAGACCAAGGTTGTGGTTGAAAGAATAAAGCCTCTCAAGAATCCTCCCGCTAAGCTGCTCTTCAGTGGAACTGCCTAACAATAAGTGTATTCATAAGTTCTGTCACTAAGGGCTGATTCACAGGTTATGTGACAATTGCGTTTGCTGCAACTGCATTGTTACATCTTGCAGTAACAGGTGACGTTTAAACCTGCAACCGTAAACATGCATTTGGGAGCTGCTGTAGCCAGTCCCTGAATGCTGTAAGAACACGTGCCCCCTCTTCATATTTTATGTGTTTACTGTGGGAACGTGTGGCAGTGACCATGGCGAACATGATTGCTGCATAAAGTGTGAATCAGCTTTCGGTTGGTGTTAACCTTCTGTTTGCCCAGAGCCTAAGAGGTTGACTTCAGCAAAATCAGGGGCTGCATTTTTTTAAAATAACTCTGTAAATTGGCCATTGTGTTAAAGAATTACTGTATTAACTTTAAGAAGAGAGAATTCAAGCTTAATTGTAAGGAGCTTAGATTGCTTCTTGTGCGTGCAAAAACCAAAGTATATGAAATGGTAAGCTATTTTGTCCTGTTGGCTAAGCAGGAGGGATTTTTCCTTTCTGATAAATTTTATAATAGGATTGAGTGAAAAGAAGAGATGGGAGAGACATTTTCATCAGCTTTGAATGGTACATAGAAACACCTTCAGACCCTTTTTAGGAATTGCTGTGGAGGTGAAAGTGCCCTACACCGGAAGCAATTTCCTAAATAGGCATCATTTGCCCTCACATTCCTGATTGGCTAGGATCACCCATGTGACCAGCCTAGAAAGAAACATTACCCTTCTAATTCAGATTTATTTGTCTGCCTTGAAATTGGTATGTAGCCAAATCTGATTGGTTCAATTGCATTATGACATGGTAGTGATCAACACATGACCTCTGATTGGCTGGGAGAAGTACTAACCAAGAGAAAAGGTGGTCCTTGAAGCAACAACAAATCTAGCAAAGAAGCAAGAAAAGCAAAGCAAACTGTTTAGGCTGGGATTTGGAGAGAAATATTTCAGGGCCCCCAGAAATGTTGCTTTTGCTCTGAAAATGGGTAGAGCCATGATGTCTGCATCTCTCCTCTGTAAGTGTTTCTGAGTATCTCTGAGTGCTGCTTCTTATCCTAGGGGTAAAGAGGATCCATCTTGGCCATGTTGTACTAGGGACTGAGTTCAAAAGGAAGCCTTCTCACACCATGTATTTTCAAAGATGATCTGGAGGTTGTTTCAGGCGGAGGGTAGTAGTAATTTGTGATCTCTTTTCCCAGGCGCGGGAAGAACTGAGGCCAGTGAAAGAGGATTTTGAAGCCAAGAACAAGGAGCTTTTGGAAGAGATGCCCAAATTTTACAGCAGTCGGATTGACTACTTTAAGCCAAGCTTTGAGTCTTTGATTCGGGCTCAGGTACAACTTTCTTCTGCTTTATTAGAAGCGGTGTGTGTGTGTGTGTGTGTGTGTGTGTGTGTGTCCCAATCTGCATTGTAAGTTGATAGAAATGCTGAATGCCACTTAAGTTGGTCATAGCTGAACATTGAGGTGGCCCCTGCAGAAATCCTCCACATCACAAAGGCTCTGCAGGGCTTCCTTGTTGGGGCAGTGCGGATTCGAATGGGGCAACTGGTGGAATTCTGGTGTGCCTGCGTCTGCTGTCAACAAAGCAGCTGGAGTGTCATGTGTCACTTTCAGCAGAACATTCTAAACAGAAGTCTGGTTACTATAATTTGAAGAAGTAAACAGTCTAACCCACCTTAGATTAGGCTCAGTACTGGGTTTAGGCCAGGAAGAGCTGGGTTCAAATCCTCACCTTGCCCCAGTCACATTCTTGACTTAACTGACCTCACACAGAGTCGTTGTGAAGATTAAAAAAGGGAGGCCACATGCGTGGCTCTCCCTGAGTTCCTTGGGAAGAAGCGCAGGATAAAATGTAATCGATTAACTATCTTTAGGTCTCCATGATTCTTGAAGTGTACTGAGAGAGGCTGGACTCATTTGCTCTGAAGGAGGCACAAGGTTTTCCCTGCCTCTTCCTCCCAGCTTAATGTTGTGTGTTGGATCCAAAGATGGAGTTTGTGCATCTGATGGAGCCCCAAGGGAATCAACAACGGGATGTATTCATACTCCCTTGTTTGCTTGTGGCGCTGTCTCTTAATTGTGCTACAGGCTGAGGTTAAGGTTATTGGGGAATATAGTAAAGGGACTGCTCAGGTTTCCTCTCCCCCAAAACAACTGTGAAGGACTCGGGCAACATGAGGCTTGGCAGGCAGTGCCTGCTTCATCGGCCTCCCGTGCAGTTTCTCCATTCCTTGAGCCTCTGATCGAGATGTAGATTCTCTCTCTATAACATCCAGTGTTTCTTTTAAAGTTTGACCATTAGCAAGAGGTCTGGATTTCTACAACCAAGGAAGCCCACTTTGTTTATGTAGATTATCCATATTTGAATAATTTTTTTATACAGTTGGTGGGTTTTCCAGTGCAGAACCTGAATTCTTTGTTGGGATTCGGGCAGTGTGATGGGGACAGCATGGGAGAGAGGTACTCTCTACTTGAGGCTTTGCCGTATTTTTGAGGATCGAAAAGAAATGTGTGTTGTCTCTCTCATGAGGGCTAGAAGCTTGATCTGTAAAAAATTAAATGGAACAGTGAGGCTTCTTAGAGTTCAGGAAAGGCCATAATTAAGAATTATTCATACCAAGCCATCAGATTCTGTGCTGTGTGGCTGTGCAAAAAAAAATGGACCCCTTTGCAGGGAAGCAACGTGTCCAAAGAAAATGACCTTGAGTCAGGATTAGAATCACAAAGTTCTTCACTCAGCCTTGCAAAACTCCAAACTGCATCACCTTCTCGGGGGCCTGCTTAAATTAAGAACTGTGCCTAATCTCCCCTTCCTAGCCTGCTGCCGGAACCCGCCTCTGTTCAGCCATCCTTTCCCCTCTTTGATATCAGAGCGGGAATGAGCTAATGTCCAGAAGCATGCGAGTTGTAAATGGACTGAACGCCGCCCCCAGCCGGCTCATTCATCCAGCCACTATTCTTTTCTGGGCCTCTTTCCATCTGCGTCTTGTTCAGTTTATTCAGTTTAGTTGGGGGGTATTGTGTTACTCAGTGGAATATCTGGTTCCGTTTCTCATCTCAGCGTGTCCTTTTTAAAACTAGAAACCACTTTCCAGACTGCAGCCCCTTACATGTGTGGCTGACAAGTGGGCAGATGTATTGGTTTTCTGAACGAAGCTCAAAGCTGTGGAATCCGGAGCCACTTTTATCCCATCCGTTATCAGCTGCATGGTTCCGGGGGTTTCCCTGCCTCTTGGATTTGTGAGAGCAGTGCATACAAATGGGAGGTGCTTTGTGGTGAAGCATGGCAAGCTGATTCCCAGGGCAGAGTCCTTGGCCAAAGGGATGCGTGAAGCATGTTAAAGGAGCTGTTTGGTCGGAGTGCCAGACCTGCCATTCCCCCCCTCCATGAAATCACATTGCGTGAATTTGTATGGAGTTGCCTCATAGTTCTTTCACACTCTGATTGGTAGAAGAATGCAATCATCGAAGAACACAGAGTTAGAGACCTACTGTGATAGCAAACAATTCCAGTATAAGGGTCCAAAACTCCCTGAGAGGTGGACTGCTTTCTCCTGCTCTTTGAGCAGCATCCTGAATTGAAGCAGACTAACAGGATTGCCGCTGGTTTTACTGGACTCTGATCCTGTGCCTTTAGCAGCAGTCTGGCCTAGAGAAATAATGCATATGACATCCCCCCCCCCCTTATTTCTATGGCAGGGGAAACAGCAGTTTAACTTTTTTGCATGTCAGGTAGCAGCTGAAGCATCAGAAGCAGTCCTACTCAAAGCGATCAAGTTGGGTGGTCGTAGGCAAGCCCCTGGCTGCATTCCAAGGTCACAAACAAACCAGGGTTTGAACACAGTGAGAATTAGCCTGAGTCTCCTGGGGCTCACACCCATTCCCATCTTTCTCTCCTTGTGTGGACTGAAGACTTGCTGGTTTAGAACTAACTACAGCTTGTCATGGAGTTTGTTCCTGGCCTGTGAGCCACAATTCTAAATTGCAGTTTAATCCTGTTTTGTTGATAATTCATTAACAAAAAAAAAATTTAGCTGCAATTTGTTAAAAGTTTCCCATTTGGATTTTGTTGATTGATTACAAACAAAGAAAGTCTGCATGCCGTATACTAAGGGAGGCGGAAGCATGTGACCGAATTGGACCGAATTGTCATTTGAACACAGCAGTATCTCGTGGCATCAGCCCCCCCACCCACACACACACCAAATGAGGATAACAATGTCCTGTTTTATTGGGGTGTTGTACAGATTACTGATAAAAGCATTAAGGGCACTGAGCATTTAAGGAAAGAACTTACAAAATAGTAATTTAGGGCAAGTAGAAAGAATGTCTGTTCTGAATCTCCTCCTGTATCGCATATGACAGTCAAGCCAGTCGGCTCCAAAAGAGTTGGTTAGTGGCCATCTCCAGAAGACATGATTAGTAAGACTCGCCAGAAAGCTGAGGTTTTTCTCTGTGGTGTTTATAAATAACCAAGAAGGGTAGTTTAGTGTTGTAAATTGTGAGCTCGTCAAAATGTTCCTCTCGCTTGCAGTGGTTATATAATTATTGATAATGATTGCATAACTCTAATTATTGGCCAAGATGTTCCCAGGCATCATTCCGAGTGCCAAGATTTGTTTACTCACCTCTGAAAATGGTGGTAGGAAAAGCACCAGCCGGGTTGCCAGACCAGCTATGTTGAAATCAGTCGTTCCTGTGGTCGTGGCGGGGCTCCTCTGCTTCACTTGGCACTCCTCCGAAGACTCTGGGCAGGCTCTTTCCACGCAGCCCCTGGAGCTCCTGCCTGGATGGATTCAGTAGTAAACAAAGCAATTCCCCCCCCCCCCCCCGTGTCCACTCATAATTCCTCCCACTTCATGTTGCATAAATACCAGAGGCAAAGAGAATCCTGTGTTTGCAGCAAAGTATCCCCCACGTGGAAGGTGAAGTCTTTGAGTACAGTTAAGGCACCTTTCCCTGGGGTTTCAGTCCCCTCGAACCATTTGAAGCTTGCTTCCAAGTAGGCATGGTTGGTGGGGGCGGGGGGTCCAGTAACCTAACTCTCAAAAGGGAGTTCTAGGGAGAGGGGAAAGACCTGTACTCTTTTAATATACCACCATTCTTGTATTCTGTGTTTGGAAGGAATCCGGGGAGTGTTTGCCAGGCGCTGGCAGAGGGGGGGGGGGCATCTGAGTCTGGACAGGGCCTGCAGGGGAGACCTCATGGGAAACCTCTTTGTGCCCTCGGGAGTTCCCTGGTGGAGGAAACACAGAATAGCAATGCAGTAAATGCAAGGCTATTTTGGGGCAGGAACGCACAGGAACGGCGTTCCGGCTGGCTCCCAAGTTGGCCACGCCCAGCAGGAACTCATTAGCATAATAGGCCACACCCAACAGCAGAAATCCAGGAGTATTGGCTTCATTTAGGGTGGCCTAACATGCAAAGGAGTTCCTGCTACAAAAAAAGCCCTGGGTTTTGACAACAAACAAGGTAAACAGAATAACAAGCAAAAGGTGGGTGTGGGTGGATAACCACACTTCTGGTAACATGGGGTTGTGGCGGCCTAATGTGCTAATGAGCTGTGCTGGCAGGGGAGTGGCCTAATATGCTAATGAGTTCCTGGTGTTGGGTGTGGCCTATTATACTAATGAGTTCCTGCTGGGCTTTTTCTACAAAAAGAGCCCTGAAAATGAACACTAAGCGGCCACCCCCAAGTCAAAATGCTCTCCACCCCCTTTGCAAGGTGTCTGTCATCGGAGTCAGGCATTTGAGTCTGGTGACCGTTGTTCCCAGTATGCAAAAGCTTTGCCAAGGGGTATGGGAAAGTACAGCAGAGGTGAGCGCTGGGGTATCTCGGCAAAACTTCCCTGAACTTGATCTTGTGAAGACAAACCTTCCCCCATATGTGCTCCTACAAAAATCAGAAGAGACAGTCCCACTGTGTAACCTTTCTGCTTTTGTTCACGTGAACAGAACTTCAGTTCTGCCTGTGGAAAATCCTTCCCTGCGGTCAGGTTTCTCAGCCTTCCCTGTTCTGAGGGGCTGAAGTATCATCCTGGCCAGTCTCCTGTGTGATACAGCTTGCCCCCAGGTGAATGCTGTGTTCCGAGGCGAAATATTTCTGCCCACCCACAAGCTTCATCTGAATGGGCAAAAAACCCCCCCCCCCCGTAGGCTTTGAAGTTCCCACACTTAAGATAAAAGGGAGAGGGTTTGTACTCCCTTGTCGATGGGAGGCTTGAGAAGAACACTTCCTCCCCCCCTTGCTCTTATTCTCTGGCTAGAAAACCGAAGTCCTGTCCTCTTCTACGTCTTTAAGATATCTTAAGTTGGAGAGGGGGGCAAAGGGT